TGTGTGTGTGTGTGTGTGTGTGTGTGTGTGTGTGTGTGTGTGTGTGTGAGAGAGAGAGAAAGAGCGCGCCAGTTGGGTTTGGGTATGTATTTGTGTGTATACTCTAGGGAAGGGGTGTGTATCTGTGTGTGTATGTGCCGAGAGAGGGGCTTATAGGAAAGAGGTGGGTGGGTATTAGAGAAGGTGGGTTATAAGAGCAGAATGGATGGTGTATGTGGATAGGTGTATGTGCACCTGTGTGGTGGCAAGGGGTGTGTGTGTGAGAATCTGTGCTCTTATGAGTAACCTGTACTGATGGGTAGACATCAATGTGTGTGCCTGCCTGCCTTTGCTAGGGTGTGTATGTTTGAGTGTATATTGGGGGTCCCTCTTGTCTCTGCAGGCAGATTTTCCTGGCGGAAAGCCCAAGGGAAGGCTGTCTGCAGGATTTGAATGGCTCTGCCTTGATTCAGGGGTAGTGTCTTGAGTATCTGAGACCCCAATGGGGATTGTGCATTTGGGGGGTAATGAGTTGTCTTAGGTGGTGCGTATTTGGGAAGATGGACTTTTCTGGACGACTGTGTGGATTGTGGGGGAATGGGGAATAAGTCCAGGGGAGGTGGAGGGGCTCTGTAGTCCTGAATTTTGGGGTTCAAGGACACAAATAAGAGGCGTGACCTTCCCCACTCTTCTGGGGTGGGCCTTAGTGCTCTTTGAGGCCACATGCTTGGCTGCTCTGCCCCAGTTACTTTCTCCGAGGCCACAGCTCTCTGGGAAAGCCATCTTGAAGGTGGCTGCTTCAGAGCCCCCCAACTCTGCCCTGCCTCTAGGATCCTGAGGAGCGTGGTCTGGAGGCGAGAAGAAGCATGCACAGAAGAGGCATGAGACCTGGTAGAGAGCCGCAGGACTGAGAAAGTGACATGGGGTGTTTCTCTGGGAGTTTCTGCAAGTGTGCCCGAGTAGTTTACCCTGCAGTTTCTTGATGAGAAGCACTGTGTGTGTGTGTGTGTGTGTTCATATGTGTATGTGGGCTTGTGTTTAAGGGTGTGTTGTGTTTCTGTGTGAATGTGTCTGTGTGTGAGTTCATGTGCACATGTGCTTACGTTCAAGTGTGTGTGTTTCTGTGTGTGTGTGTTTGCGTGTGCACGTATTGGCGCTGAGCTTGCCAGGGGCCAGATGTCCATCTGGTGGGAAGGGTCTGTGTTCATCATCATGAGGGTGGGTGGGAAGTCAGAGACCATGAAGAAGACATCTCTTCCTCCCTAAGAAGTAGCAGCTACCTCCTTTCTCCCTTTGCTCTTGCTCATTCTCTTTTGGGGTGAAGGGAAGAAATGGGTGGTCGTCTCCTCTGGGACCCAAGTCTTGTTCCCGGATGCGCGCTCTTGATCATGTTCCTCTTGCTGCCAGGGGTTAGTTAGGCGGAGACACGGGTTTTTAAGACAGGGGCTGTAGTTGCACATGCCCATTAGAGTCCCTGGGTAATTGCAACTGGAATGTCAGTCTCTAATGGGCATGTGCAGTTGGAATGTTCCATCTTTAGCCCTCAGAGCTCCCTACCCTTCATAAAGCCCGGGGAAAGAGTGGAGAGGTTTAGAGAATGTGGCACTAGGACGAGGAGCAGGCTAGGAAGAGACTCGGTGTCTTTCCCCGACAGTGCTCCATTCCTTCAAACCGGCCGGCCGCCCATCAGATGGTTTTTCCCACACCTGCAGAGCGCCTGTAGTGCCCTGGCTTTCAGGGTGCCTATGGGCTCAGCTGATGCTCCTTACCAGTAAGAGTTGTCCTCCGAGCAGGGGGACTTGTGGTTAGACAATAGGAAGTGCCATTTCAGAAAGTACTTCCAGACTGGGGACCAGTGACCACACGGGCCCCTCCTTCCCTATTGTCTTGGTCCTGCTTTCTGCTTTCTCGGATGCCCACAGGGCTGCCTTCCTTTCTGCCTCTTCTCTGCTCCCTCACCTTCTTGTGGGACTTGAAGAAGGCCCCCTTTCCCTGGCCCGTCATTCCCTCCAGCTTTCTCTTGTGCTGGCTCCCACACCGTGAGGGCAAAAGGAAGAGTCAGAGGTTTCACTCCGTGCTGAGAGCGGTGTGACCCGATGCATGTAGCTGACCTTCATTCCTTAGCCTCCTGGGTGTCGTAAGACACCATCTTCCAAGCCCGCTTTGAACCCATCCACAAGGAATCCCAAGGCCCCCTCCCGGCACTGTGACCTCTCTCCCTTGCTGACAGTTTGCTTTTAACTTCTAGCTCTGCCACATCCTAATTCTGTGACCTCAGACAAAACGGAGAACTTTGGTAAGCCTCACCTGTTACATGGGGTTGATGATAATACCACGTCTCAGGTTTATGAGGACCTAGTGAAATAACCTGGAAAGAGTGTGTTCCTCAGTGCCTGGCGCAGGGGGAAATGACGTAGCAAATCCTGCCTGGCGTGGTTGGTTTGGATTTTAATCCACGGATGTAGTAAGGGATGAGGTCTGGGCAGTAGGGCAGGGGAGTGAGCTTACTTTGCGCTCTCCTCTGGCAGATCCCGTTCAGCACAGTCCACTTTCTGCCAGGTGTTATGAGAACCACGGGGGATGGAAGGGTGCAGAAGACACTGTTCACAGGGGAAACATGCTTGAACACGTCGATCCCCCGCAAGCCCCTGAGTGCCGGATGGAGGTGTATTCTGGAGGCCCTTGCAGCGTGGAGTTGGGTTCTGAGGAGGAGTATTGGGCAAGGTTCCCGAAGGAGATGTGTTGGCCACTGGAGTTTTAGAAGTTAACATGAGATGAACATTGAAGAGAATGGAATTTACTGCACACACACACACACACACACACACACACACACACACACATACACATGCACACACACACACTACTATGCAACCATTTCTGTCCAGTTGTGGAACATTTTCACTAGCCCTGAAAGACACTTTGAGCTGTCGTTCCCAGTGCCCTCTTGTTCAGCCCTTGGCCCACCCCCAAGCTGCCTTCTGTCTCTGTGGAGTTACCTGTTCTGGCTATTTCCTCTAAACGTCATCATTTTATGTCCAGCTTTCTCCGTTCAGCACGTTTGCAAGGCTTATTCATGTGGCAGCATGTATGTACAGCATCCCTTTTGATGGCTTAGTAATATTCTACTACATGCATATTCCTTAGATTATCGTCTTTCTTTCTTTCTTTCTTTCTTTCTTTCTTTCTTTCTTTCTTTCTTTCTTTCTTTCTTTCTTTCTTTCTTTCTTTCTTTCTTTCTTTCTTT